CTTGGGCAAATTAATTCTGTTATTACCTGACTAATTCTGGAAGCCTTCTTATGAACCTCAGACATCCCCAGTGAAACATCCAACCAAATGTGATTCAGTAACATCTTGGCCTCACTCAATTATCCACAACTGACTTTACATGTGAATTCCTGGGATAATACTTTTTCCGCGACTCATTAGGGGCCTATTTAGCTCACATTCTGACAAACAAACGAAGTTTTACATTAGCTAACATAGATGTTTTTCTCTGAAATTCTGGTTTGACACTGCTTCTCGTTATTCTGAACTGCATGCACCCAAGCTTGGATAGGTCATTACCCCGTATCTAAAACCAGCCAAAGTGGAAGATCACTCATTAATGATATCGTCTGTATCGATTCAATCAAGTGATATGATACAACTGTTAAACATCGTTGGTTTTGCAGTCGTCTCAAATAGGATTATTCAACTATCAAACAAGTGGTGCACATAATGCATCAATGAATCCGTTCTTTTCGTGAAGCCTTAACGTCCTCAAATTCTTTGATTCTGACCACATTATCTAATTACGATCAAGTTCCTCGAGAATCTGGATTCCAGGTCTGAAAGTATCAGGATATGCATCCAGTTCAGTGTCAATTGATCCAACAATCCGATTATACCAGCATTAGAGTCGGACTGCTTCTCAACACATTACGTGATTATGAACAAACAGGCTGACCCAGTCGTACAGCTTCTCTCGCTCCGCGCGTAATCTGTCCGCCGATTGATTTCTCGACCAGACACCGTGACAATCGCACGACCAAACGAATGAGTCATGTCTGATTCAGACGAAAAATTGGGTCGCGCATAACCGAAGTTAAACCACGCTCGCTGTCTGTTCGGTCCAATCGACACAGATGTAGGAATCAGACGAAAAACAAGACAGCCCCCCCCCTCCGCCACACACACAATTTGGGCACATTCTTCCTTGTGTGGTGGAAATTGTGGGCACTATACCATTGCACACAGCACAATTTGATGACCCTTCCCGCAGACATGATATTACCATTTATATTCTGCGTTGCTTGGTGCCAAATGACCCGGTTACGCGGTCCCGGAGCATGTCATTTCCTTATTTATGTGGAAACCTGCAACTGAATAGACAATAAAAACCTGCAACTCCCCCAATCCGATGAAAGGTGATGGGTGTGAATTTCCGTGTGAGTAGTAATTCTCCGTTTTTCACATTGCCGATATTATATATCTACTTCGTAATAAGTACTAACTGAATGCCTAGACAAAATCTCCCTGGAAGCAGTCTTCTATAAAGACGCTCGAGTTATGTTTGTTGCGGTTAATAGCATCTAACCCACCTATAAAACATCAAATCATAGTGTTGATTCCTCAGCGGACTGGCTTCGAAAGTATTGTCCATCCAAAATTACCCGGTGTTGAAATTGAGTTTATTGTGACGAATATATATATATATATATATATATATATATATATATATATATATATA